AACCATGGCAAAGTATACATTTTTAAAAAGCTCAAGGACCAAAGACTACGAAAAAAATATTTGTGTACCCTATAACTGTATTGTAACCTGACACCGGCTGATTAAATCTGCCACCTGCTGGGGAATGCTAGGGCTTACTTGAGAAAAAATAACTCCTGCAAGAACTGGTCAAAAGGAATTATTTTTACATTTTACAAAAGAAGACAAATAGCTTGCTGGGATAAGCATATAGGTTTTTGAAAAGTTAAAAACACGTGAAATGATGACCAGTTAAATCTGGTACAGAAAATCTAGCATACGTTTCAATACATAACTTTGACAGAATGCACTGGATGGAAAAGTTCTATGCTTATCCCACGGAACGTACTCAGAACAACAACTACTGAAAATTTTAGCTCAATTGAATAAATCCTTCTCAAGATATCTTTTGTCGAAGGCGAAAATAAATCGTTTTGAGAAAAACGAGCTTTAAACTTACGGTAACAGTACTTGTCAAAACAAAACTTCAATACCTTAGGATTCGAGTTCCGTGAAAAAGAAAACTTCGAATTTCTTTCCCGCCTTAAGTCCCGCCTTAAAATTCAGCCTAACACAAAAGATCTCAGCCCGAGGCTCTGGTGAATAAACCCCACAAACTCTGTAGTTATTCTCCAGAGCCTCGTACTGAGATCTATTGTTTTAGGCCGAATTTTAATATATGGAAATTGATCTATTGTCTCCTTTTGTTCTTATCTATTAATACGTTTATATGTTTAGTTCTGGATAGTGTTATCTTAGTTTTACATTATTATTATTATTATTATTATTATTATTATTATTATTATCTATTATAGTGATCTATTGGATAAGGTTATGTGCCCCACGAACGCCAGAACTTTTATTCTTCCCCTTCACTTCTACGTCACTATATTTTCCAACGCAAAGGTGTACGGGACAAAATCGGTTACTTTTACGATTACCGTGCATTGAGGAGATTTTGCCCTTTACCAAATTTAATTAGCCTTTTTGAAGTGTTAATATCATGGGTGACAAATTCCTCCTTAATTTTGGCGCGAGATTTCAGCGTTAATTCATAATTTCACATGTGAAATTACAAAATTGCCATGGCAACATCTCTTGTATCTCGATCAGTGCCAANATGATGACCAGTTAAATCTGATACAGAAAATCTAGCATACGTTTCAATACATAACTTTGACAGAATGCACTGGATGGAAAAGTTCTATGCTTATCCCACGGAACGTACTAAAAACAACAAACCCTGAAAATTTAGCTCAATTGAATAAATCCTTCTCAAGATATCCTTTCTAGAACGCGAAAATAACTCGTTTTGAGAAAACGAGCTTTAAACTTACAGTAACAGTACTTGTCAAAATCAAATTTCAATACCTTAAGATTCGAGTTCCGTAAAAAATAAAACTTCGAATTTCTTTCAGAATTTTAGGTTAAGTCCCGCCTTAAACCAGAGAAATCACAAAAATACCTTGTGTACAGTAGGATAAATTGCTCTGCAGTTTCTACATTAGTGTTGTTTGAAGAGTCCAAACACAAGTTCATTGCCGTACAGTTCATCCACAGCTGCATCCAGATAATAAAACTCGCTTCTTCCTGTTTGAGTGATTTCCACTACACACCAAAGCCAGCAAAGTCAGCCAACCCTGGCACTGTTTGCGGGAGCCAACATTGGTGTCATTAATACTCAGTTGCTGGTTCTCCCTCGTTCAAGAGAATCGAAGAGGTCGACAAATAGCTTGAAACGACGCCGACATTTTTTTTTTTTTTTTCTGAGTCTTCAGATGAAGAAGATTTGTGAACAATTTCAGTGAAGCGTGAAGCGAACCTTCGTCACTCGCTGACTTTTTGATGGTTTTGACATATTTGTGACAGCTTTATGTCAACTTCCTGGTGGCTTTTCAGCAATCACGTTAGCATGAATTCTAATTATGAACTTGCATTGAAGACAAAAATGGGAAATTAAGTCATGTTTTTGGATTAATTGTGAGTCTTGTTCGACGCGAAGAAATAAATGACAAGTTTTTATTGTGGAATCTTTTTTGTAGTTGTTGCTTGAGATGCTTGAGAAAAAAATAATAACTTTTATTATATCTCTCAGTTGGTATGCGCGTTGTGATTGGTCAATTTAGCGGGCCATATTCTCCTGTACGGCCCGCTAAAATTTAAAGTTGTTGTTGTTGTTTTTTTTTTTTTGGCAAACTGTTCCGTGATTTATCGCCAAGTGTTCTTAACTTTTATAGCAAGTTAGACTACGAGTAGTCCCTCTTTCGCTTAGTCCGTCGTGCGTGACGCGAAAGAAAACCGCGAGAAAAAAATGGCCGGACGAAATCCTGGAGGCGAGGAGCGCGCGAAAGGACTACCGCCTAAGCCCAAGAGTTTGCCCTTTCACGGCCAAGTGATTTTTCGGTGTAGGATTTCTCATCTTGACGTGCATTTATTATCGCCTGTTGCGATGAACAAAAAATGAACTAAGTGTTGAACCGAAGTGCTACCCCGGTCCGCAGTCCCGCAGTCGATGAACAAGAAATGAATTAAGTGTTGAACTGAGGTGCTACCGCGGTCCGCAGTCCTGCATGCGCAGTCGATGAACAAGAAATGAACTAAGTGTTAAACTGAAGTGCTACCGTGGTCCGCAGTCCCGCAGTCGATGCCGACAAGAAATGAAGTAAGTGTTAAACTGAAGTGCTACCGCGGTCCGCGGTCCCGCAGAGGACGAAAGAACGAGGTATATTCGTGGTTTTTATATAGTTATTATGTTAATTATCACGACTGTGGGACTGCGGTAGCAGCATTTGAAAACACATATTAAGTGGCCGGGTATTCTGAAGTTTAGCCGCCGTAAGAAGTATATCTTCGTTCAGTGTTCGTTCAGTGAAACTGTCAAAGAAGTTTTAAAAAGAAGACGGTGAATGAGGAATCTTGTAACGATTTTCGCTGCGTCTGTAACCTCTAATCTAAAATTATTTCGAAAATTTCAAATGGAGAGTCTGAAGCGAGAATTTACATTACATAGGAGATCATCCAACTGCGATAAAATGTTTGCCGATAGTAGCGGAAAGTTTCAGGTGAATGTCCGGTTTCAAGTGAAAGTCCGGTTCAATCTTTCAAATGGACGGCAGAAAGGAGCCCGCGCTCCTCCCCCGAACTCACGGCTGGACTCGTGGGCTTGGCATTGTTAATTTCAACCAATAAGAAATCTGCCTGCCTAAATCGAGCAAGCTGCATAAATTAACTTTCCCGCAGTAGCAAAGAAGTCGTGCGGTACGAAGTGCGATCGCATTAGTGGGACATTTAACCAAATACCGTCAACTGATGAAATCTTGCCTGATCTAAACCATAGTGGCATATACAACACGCAAAATAGTCAACAGACTTATGCGTTAGAATCTATATTTGAATCGTGGTGCCAGAATGTCAGATAACGAACAAAGTAAACGAAGAGAGGGATAAACGAAAACATCGATATGTAAACTAAACGATGTAAGTAGTCTTAACTATCGTATTGTACGTGCTGTAATTTTACTATTTTCCTCTTTTTATTTTGTTTAGTTTTTCCCGTGTATATTGTGTTTGTAAAGTACTAAAAAAAACGAAACAAAACAAAACAAAAACATATACGACACACACACACACACATATATATATTTTACAACTTGAAAGTCTTACACTGTCGCATACAAATCGCCACTACCATAGCTTTGTTTATCATTGACGTGATGAAGAGAGAACAAGCTGGTGCTGGTTTAAGCGACTGTTATGCACGACAAGACCACAAAATTAATAGTCTGAAAACGTCTGCGAGACTTTTCCAGTTTGACATCATACCTCCTAACCCATTATAACACTTTTTTGTAGTTTCAGTGCACTTAAATGGTAATTTTTAACAACACAAGACTAGTATGATATACTAAGGTTTCAATCAATTAATCCGCCAATCAATCAATCAGTCAAAGACTCAAAGTATGTCTTTCAAGTTTTTACTTGTCGAAGTTATGTTCACGATAGTTCCTTTTTAAGTGCAGATGTTTTAGAAATACGGACGTCTACAAGTGGTAGTGTTCCTGCTCCTCGCGCGTTTTCACCCCAGTTCCACCAATGAGTTGCGAAGCCCTCCTTTTAATATTTGAAGTTTTAGTGAAAAGACGACAATAGGCGCTACAGAAGAAAAAATTCAACATCCCGTTTAGATCACGTTGTCTCTCAAAAACTTCCGCACTTCAACATGGCAGCTGATTGCAGCTGGTGCCAGCTGTTTATGCTCATTTAAGGCTGAGCGATTGCATTGGAAGCAGTTCAATACAAGACTATCACAGCATCTAGAAGCACTGCTATCTTTCAACGAGGTACTAACGAGTATCCTGCCATTGACCAAAATTAACAGCCAGCTTTATTGAGAAAGTGATGCATATCCTTTAATCCATATTTGATATTTTATTACACCTGCAGGAATCTACGATCCCTTTTTTGTGCTGCCGCAAAAATCGTGGAGAAGAAAACCGAAAGAGAGACAGTGGAAAGGTTAGTGTAAGGGGCTGGTGACACGGAGGAAGATCCTAGCACCAAGGAGGAGACAACTTTTGTTTTACTAGCAAAATCTTCGGGCGAGGTGGCTACCAAGTGGAGAAGAAAAACAAGCTAGATGAAATAGTCGACCGTCTTGACATCGCCATGTTTGTTTGTTTTGTTTTGTTTTGTTTTGTGTTTTGTTCCGACTTCTAGGATATAGGTGCAAGGATCGTCTTATCTCTCAGCTAGAAATAGCCTAGCGCTTGAGAGATTTTTGTGCAAGGGTCAAAGGTAAACTGAATACAGAAAGCGTAAGCTGCCAAGATGAACTCTTACAGAGAATATTTCGTACTCGTGTTGCTTTTCACAGAACCATAGAAAACTATGAAAACAAAAACTAATAAAATATATAATGATAATAATAATAATAATAATAATAATAATAATACAAAAAGGTAAAGCAGATAAAATGTAGAATCAAAAGGGATAATTATTTTAAAGATTTAATCTATGTGTAAGCGCACGCATGCAGGCCTTTAAACGCAAAAATGAAAATGTCTGCTGCACTAAATTGCCTGCCTTCGTATTCGCGGGAACGACCAAACAATTTGTACGGACTACAAAAGTGTGTCGAGCGTTTCCGATCTTCGTCACATGACAGGGCCTAAGTGAGGAAGTATTTAATGGCAGTTAAGCTCAACAGTGATCGAGGAACATTTTGGCGGAGGTTCGTGAAAATCGGTTAAATCTACGAGTCCTATCAATTCGCTTGAAGCAAGGGAATTCACGAAAAACTAAAGCCTTAGTATCCAGCCCCTAAAGCTTTGCGAACTGAACGATGTTTGATTGTTATGAATGTTTCACTTGAATTCATTATTTTATATCTGCGTCAATCTCTCCCAAATTAATAGACTAGGAAAATGCTGTGGACCGTTCCAAGTTTCTTCTTCTTCGCCGGCTTCTTTATGGACTGCGTATCTGCTGGTGACCAATGCAGAGAGGAACGGAGCATAAATGGGATGGCTCTACAGGGATTCGTCTTTAAAAAGTTCTCCGTAAGAGCCTTTCATGAGTGTGACATCAGCTGTGAAAGAGAACTCACCTGTCAAAGCTATAACTACGTCGTGGGGGAAAATTCATGCGAACTGAATAACCGCACCAAAGAGGCAAGACCTGAGCATTTCCGGTCAGACCCGGCACGTGTTTACCTAAGACGTTTGAGCAACCGGGGTAGGTACAAAACTATTACGAAGCTTTAGCAAAAGCAAGTAATTAGGGAGATGAAGCAAACTACGACGACGACGACGACGGCAACGAGAACGTCACCAAACAAAAGGTTTCATGAGTACAGCAACAGCTGTGCACGTACGTTATAAATCTTAACTTGTACATTTCTTTGCCGTCCTCTGCAAAACAACAATGTGAAATGACCAAGTTCTGCGTCGTCTTCGGAACGTGGACGACGACGGCTATTTTTTAGTATTCCCATTTGGAACTGAACGCCGTCGTTGTATATTTAGCTTAAGCACGTTTTCAGAGCCATTGACGTACTGAACAGATCTAAACAATCGCGAATTTCGCTTGTAAAATATAAATTCATTTTTTACTAGGCGTCGTCCTCGACGTCGTCGTCGTCGTTGCTTAAGTTCCCTAAAAACTGAAATTTCCCCGGCCTGGTAGATGTTGTTTTCCCGCGGGCTTGGTGTTTGTTAACAATCCTTGAAAAGAAAAAAAAGTGTTCTTTTTAGAACATGAAATTTCCGCGGGCAGCTCATCAACCTGTAGATCCACGTTCGACAGAAACAAAGTTTATTAAACATAAATTACTGTCTACTTGGTACATCTTGTAATATCATTTCTTTTCTTCATCAAAGCTCCTCTGGGTTCCATTCCGGAGCTCCCAGCGCACTCGTGTCAGGAAATAAAGGCGAGCGAAGGCAAAGACAGCATTAGCAGCAAGTACTGGCTTGATCCAACCGGAAATGGAACAGCAGTTTTGCTTCATTGCGACATGAACTTAGAAGGTTTTTGGCAATCATCTTTCATGCCAGTCGTGTATAATATTTTGAGTATACCTTTCGTTTTGTTGCTGTTGATTGCTTCTTTGTGTAACATTAAATGAAACTCCTGGTTTACTCTTTGAGTATGAGAGCATTTTTAGTTTCTCATTGCCAAAGGTTGGATTTTTTTTTTTTTTTGCCGTTTGTTATCTAGACGTCGATGAATGTAACACCGGCAACCATGACTGTGACGTGAATGCAAACTGCACCAACACTGTTGGCGGACATAACTGTACTTGTAAGGAAGGATTTGCTGGAGATGGTCGTTCGTGCTCGGGTAAATTGACTTTACACCAAAGCCAGAACTGAAAACTGGAGTTCCCCAGCTAATGTCAACTTTTAAACGTTGTGTGTCAAATATTATTTTTCTTTTAGATATCGATGAGTGCAAGAAAGGAGACCATGACTGTGACGTGAATGCAAACTGCACCAATACTGCTGGCGGACATAACTGCACTTGTAAGGAAGGATTTGCTGGAGATGGTCGCTCGTGCTCGGGTAAACTGTATATTCGTATAAATTTGAAAAAAGCTGTTAACCTTTTTCTAAATATCTATTCTATACTGTATCAATAAGGACATACTTCTCTTGGGATTCCGAGAACCGCAAAGTGGTTCGACTTGTTACTCACAAATACCAGGGGCGGATCCAGGATTTTTCTTAGGAGGGGGTGCACCACTAAGGAATGGCGTAACTGACTAGTAAAGTAAACAAATTTTAAAAGCGTATACGAAGGAGAAGGCTTCATCTCAGGGGGGGAAGGGGTGCGCACCCCCTGCACTCTCCCCCTAGATCCGCCCCTGAATATTGGCCGATTAGTGCGCTAACTTTACGAACATTTTACCGGTATGAGCCCTCCTCTATTTACCTAGGAAGAGGAATTATACGTCTCAGACGTATTGTGCATCTAACATTACTGGACATTAAGAGCAGCCCCGCTTTAATATCAACTGGGCAAAGAAATAGCGAAAACGAATAAAGCCCTGGAAAAGAAGCCCTTTACGGACATCACTTATAGGACTGTTTAAAAATATTAAGTTAAGCTGAATCAATCTTTCATTAATTGTTTTCAACACAATTTGTTTGCTTTTCGATGTCCCAAATCGCCCTGATATGCATCAAAAATGAGCAGCATGCAGATAGGATTGTAAATTTGAAAGTAAAGATTCTCATGACGAACTAAGATTTACGTCGTATTTGTATTTCCTTTCTTCTACATTTACAGTAATAAGAACGCGATTTGATTAGAAAACAAGCATATGCCGCGAAATTTTGAAAGCTAACATGACACAACACACCAAAAGGAGAACTGTACATTTAGCCTATCCTAAGTTGTTCAAAATGCGTTCTGGTTATGTCCGTCATAAACAGCTAACTTAGTCTGAAAGAGCTTCGTTTTTTCTTTAAAATAGTGAGACATATTTTTGGGCATTGCGGCTACTCACCAACATATCCAAACGATGTCACGTCATGTCGAAGAACGTGGGAAAACGAGTCTGCATTGTCGTACATTTTGACTTCGTAGCGGTCAGCGGTGAGAGATCGTAGAGATTCGCGGGGCCATGTTTCTGCTAGAAATCCACGCAAAACTCGAATTTGTTTTACTCGAACGGTAATATTCAATGAAAGGATAACAATTCTAAGCTGTAAAAAGTAGTTATTTTCATTAAAACTCGCGTTTTAAAGGCGAAAATCGATTATTAAAT